GAAATCGAAGCCGCGAGCGACAGCGCACTCCGCACGGTGTCGATCATGACGCGGTGCTGCCGCCTCAGCTCGTGCAGCGTCGCTTGCGCCTCGGCTGCAGCGTCGCGGAGGCCCGTCGCGGTATCGCGCCACGACACCATCGCCAAGCGCGGGTGCGTGCGCCACGAGGCAAGGAGCTGCGTCATGTGCTCGACCTGGTCCCGAAGGAGGTCGCGCTCGTGGACGTAGCGCGCCTTGTGGCGCTGCTGCTTGAGGCGGTTGCGCAGTCGCACGTGCTCGAGCCGACGCAGGTCCTCGGCCATCGTCGCCTGTCTGATCTGCACCCAAGCGTAATCGCGGCTGGTGTATAAAACACTCAAACTGTTTTAAACCGGTCCAGAACGCCAGTTGCCATTGATCCTTGGTGCTCTTGGAGGACAGTGCTAAGTCGAGTCTCGAGTACTGTCGCGGGCACACCGCTGTGGGACCTGCCACACGAGTCGCCTCCAGGCTTGGTATCGCTGGCGTGTTGGAGAGTTGTCTCGAAAACGAAGGCTTTGTTGCTCATTGACCTGCCTGTCCTTGAACGACTCATCTTTTTAGCTACGGCTGTCGTCGACTGCCATAATCCTATAATAGTCGTGGCATCTGTACAATGACGACACCTCGATGTAGTACGGCTTGTTCTCGCGCACCGCTTGAGGGTCGGGCAAAGATCGCGATTGCCCATTGATCCACGTTTATTGGTCCATCTATTTTTTAGACGGTTCTGATTGGCTACGTTGTGAATATCGATCCAGGCCCGAGACTAAAAGAGTCTGCCAGGTGAGCGCTTGGTAGAACAACGCACTCTCGCAATAAACGTGTCAATTGATGCATTCCTTTACCACGGCTGAAAGCGAAGGGTGAGCTCCTTCTCTGGCGTCATGAGCATGTGAATGACCGCCTTCGGGTGGACCTCTGTTAGGATCCAGCGCACTTCCATCGTCCGCAAGAGGTGTGAGAGGAGCAAGTACATCTCAGTCTCTGCCAAGCGCCGCCCGACGCAGCTCCGCGCGCCCATCCTGAACGGCAGCGTCGAATGCGCTGCGGCTTGGCGGTGGCTCTTCTTGGTCCAGCACTCAGTCGGGTCGTCAAACACATGGGGTCGCGACTCATCGTGTATGTGGCCAAGAGCACGCTCGTGCGCGCCGGGATCTTGTAGCCCAGCAACGTCAAGTCGCTCGTCAGGTAGCGCTGGTTGGGGTTCGCGACCGGGTACAGGCCTCCTTCACGACCGCTCGGGCCACTCCTACGATGCAAACCACGGCGTGTCAAAGTCGTCATTGGATTGTTAACGTTTTCAGAGCGCTTTGTATCTTCAGTCTAGCATTGCGTGCGTTATAAGACGACAGAAGCAACGTAGCGTGGCCTGCTCTGCTCTCTAAAGTGTGTTCTATCACTGTGCCAACTATGGGCGAATCCATTTCAAACGTGATGTTGTCGACCAAGTGGCGTCGGCGTCCTGGAGTGCCTCTCACAGATGGCACTATTTGGCATTTACGATGAGTATAGGATCGCGCCTCACTGCTGCTCTACGCCTCGCACGACGACGCGCCCGCGCATTCCGAGCTCTCCAAAGCGTCCTCTACATATGTGCCAAATCTTGGCGAGTTCATTTCTCAACGCGATATCGTCGACCTGGCGATAGGTTTTAATGTGTTGGTCAAGTAAAAGTATGATAAATGTTCTGCACACTTGGTGCTGCAAAGGGATTGAACGTTTGGTGTCGCGATCAGTAAACCCCACATAGTCGCACCACCCACTATGCACAAAGGTCAAGAAGATGATTATTAGGACGTACTGGCACGTCTGGCGCGGGATGGGACCATGGGACGCAACCAAGTTCGTCCCAGACCACCAAGAAGACTGCCATCGATCCATCAGCCGGCGGGCTAAATGACGTGGCAGCGTAGCGTGCAACTTGATACGCCTCCACAGAAAGGACCGATTTCCAACAAGAAATGGAAGAACGATGGCGAGGTTGATTATCATCATCTAGCTACATAATGATACAAATTGCACAGGGCTCTTTTTCCTGTGAGTGGCTATAATTTTTTAAATATTTTCGTTTTGTCGAGTGGATGGCTCCTCAATGCAGTAAAGTGGTTTGAGATGCGGGTCTAATACGACGCGCGCGGCTGGCAAATCTGGCGGCTAAAGCGCGGGCTCTTGCCATGGTGCGTCAGCTTGTAGTGCATCGACTTGTTGGTCTTGTGCGTCTGGTACAAAGCGTTGTCCGTCTTGGTCGTGCGCTTCAAGATGTTTTGCACCATGGGCTCAACGCTGCGGCGGTTCTCCTGGAGCGAGACGCACTTGTCGAAGAGCTTGCGGTGAAGCTCTTCCCGCAAGTCAAGGATCTCG